AAGGTCTATAGTTAGTGTTTCCCTGGTTGTTCAAATTTCTCAATGGGTTCACTGAATTGTTCCCCCGCTGCAGATTAGTAATAGCAGTGTTATTATTATTACAATTCAGGTTTGGGTGGATTTTCCAACCGATATTATAATAATTCGAGTAAGGATTGTTGGGTTTATTATTTATAGCATTCAAGATTTCATACGATGATTGAGAATCTACTATTTGTCCTAATGAATTTTCCTCTAACACCTGAGGCGTTTGAGAATAGTTCATTCTGCATTGATCTATTTTCTTTGAAAGAGCAACAATTTGAGAAACTATCATGGTAATTGCATCAGAATCATGAATACTGGCTACTTTTTTAGGATTCACCCATTGAAAGGGACATTGAAAATTATTAGTAGTCATCTCCTCTATTAAGAGTATGGGTTTTGACATTCATGATCCACCAGCAGCAGCATCAATAATCGATCTAAGAGATCCTACTAATCTGTTATAAAATGTTTGAATTATTAACCAATCAGGTAAAGAGTGATGTGAACATTTCCTAAGGAGATCTTTAAATCTTTCCCAAGCTTCACATATTGATTCCTCTTCAAACTAACAAAGAGATGTAATACCGTTTTTAAGCTTAGCAGTTTTTTATGGAGGGAAATAATTTGAAAAAAGTTTTTGTGATAGTTCTCCGCAAGTTCTGATAGATCCAGGTGCTAACGAATTTAACGCTAACGAATTTAACCACTGAATTTAACCACTTCTTAGCTTTATCCCTTAGTAAAAAAGGAAAAAGTCTAAGTCTAACGGCGTCTTTCGACATCCATCATATTTAAATGTAGCACACAATTCTAGAAAACTAGAAAGATGTAAATTAGGATCTTCATTTGGTGTCCCACCAAATTGATTATTTTGTACTATTTGGATAATAGTAGGATTAAGTTCAAATGAATTAGTAGCTACATCATGATTTTGATCAGTTAAGTGAATTTCATCTGATGTAGGGTTAGCATAATCTTTTAAGAGCCTAGATTGATGTTCATTTTCATTTCTTTGATTATTAAAATTGTTCACCATTTTGTTCGAATTTTTAAATTCTTTTTGTTGCTTCTGAATTTTTCTAATAGTACGTTCTAACTTTGAATAGTAAGGCACTAAAGCTTCAGATCCAATACTACGCATACAAAATCACACTAAACACTCTTGAAGTAAGTAAGCACACATAATTGCAAATTAAGAAATAAAGATTTTCAAATACTACTAATTTTATTGTTACTTTGTTTATACTTTCCCCGTGGAACGACGCTACAAACTTGATCGTGACTTTTTATATGCTCTGTTTTATTAAGTTGACACCACTACTTGAAGACTTTAATCTCCGACAACGGTACCAAAACTTGATGTGTACTTTCTGTTTTTTATTAATTTTATATCTTTTATTTAGTCACAATTATATAAACGCATGTATACATATCTCTCAAGCAATACATGGCTCTAGTGGAGTTCTCGGTATCAATCTCACAGGGAAAGTTACGAAACTTTAAAGCATAAAGCGTAGTACATAAATCTAATATTCAAATCACAATGTGCATACTGTAAATATTAAAGTTGTTAAAGTGTAAATATGGTTAAACATTTAAGTTTACTAAAGTTACTTTCTAAGCTTCTAAACAAAGTAATCTAACACAGAACTAAGTTCTGTATTGAATGTTTCAAATATGGAAAAGGTGTCCTCCCCCTTATCCTCCACAATGATACTATGGTGAGTGAAAGATAAAGATTAGTGAAGTCATTGTATTGTGTCAAATAGGAGCATACATATTATTTACCCTCTTCCGAGTGCTATAAATAACATTGGCTAATTCTAAACCCTAAACCCTTATTCGAGATGGCGTTTTTAGCAAGACAAGATTGTGCTTCACTCCGAAGAACTTTCGACTCCCATGCAAGTCTTACATCTTTGTGGGTTATAGCTACTACAATGTTAATCAGGAGTTTTCGACCTTTTCGGGAGAGCAGTCCTCGCCTTTGTGATGTTATCCGATCTTTATGACTTTGATTAGTGATTTAGAACTGTGGTCAATTATCTTGTTATGAAAGCTTTTTATGCCTGTATATACTTGCATGTATGAACTATCGATTGTGATACTTATCTTTTGTGGCAATGGAGATAGATTTAGGTACCATATCTTATGCATAGAAGATTTTTAGATCATCCCCGCTCCACGTCCTGGGGACTTCTTTGCCTAAATAGATGATCGTCTTGTATGCTATTGGCCGAGTTTGCTCTTTTATTATATGAGGTCCAGACCATAATGATTTAAAATTTCTTAGGGCTTGATCGCGAGCTGTCACATCTGCCCTTCTTAGGAACATGTCTCCTGATCTAAATCGACGTTCTCGGATTTTCTAGTTGTACTAATTTGATATTCTTCTTATGGCCTCTTTTTATCGTAGGAACGCCTGTTCACGAAGTTCATCTAAGATATCTAGAAAATCTTGTAAACCTTCGTTGTTTGCTGTTTTCAAATAATTTAGTTTAAATTCTTTAAAATTTGCAATAAGGACCTGCTGATTGAATATGTAGTATTCAATGGGGAGAATTGCTTCAACTCTACGAGAGAGGTGAAAGGCATTGAAGCAGTGATGGTCGTAAATGTTTTACAAACTGCACAGGATGGATGGGAACAATTCATATCACTTCTCTTTAAATCCTAGCTTGTTTTTTAGTAAAATTAGAATAATCTTGTTGGCAACTTTTACTTGATCATTGCTTTTGGGATGGTGAGCAGGAGGCTAATTACTTGGCTGTTGTAAAACACATTTATTTTTTTAACCACAAATCAATTATTATTGTGATTAATTATAACCATAGGTAATCCATGTTTGCAGATAATATCAGTCCATACGAAGTTTTGGATAATGTCTATCGTGATTCTAGCCAAAAGTTTAGCTTCAATCCATTTTGTGAAATAGTCAATCATGAATGGAATGTATTTTCGTTGTTCCTTTCCAGAAGGAAGGGATCCTAAGAGGTTCATCCCTCATACTGCGAAGAGCCAACGGCTGTTAATAGACTATAATTTATGTGAATGTTGAAACTGCATTGGAGCAAATTTCTGACACTGTTCGTATCTTTTGGAGAGCTCTTCGGCATGCTTTTAAAGGGTATGCCAGAAATATCCTTGTCGAAGGATTCGATTGGCCAGAGTTCTTCCACCGGAATGACTGCCAATTCCAGAATGAATATCTTGTAATGTATTATCTTTCTCATCCTCCCTGATGCATTTTAAGGAGGTGAAAGTGACAGACTTTCAGAATAGTTCCCCATTGATCATCAAGTAGTATGCAGCTTTTGATTCTGAATCTTTAAAAATTTTTGACTTATGTCGAAACTATGTATGTTCACAAATATTGCAGAAGTGGATCGATCCAGCTATCAACTGGTCGAATTTGTAGATTTGCAACTTCAACATCTTCAATGGCTTGCTGATGTAGAGTTTTGGGCATCGATCCAACAAAGATTTCAAAAGATGGTTGGTTACTTTGTAGATTGTGTGAGCTTGAAAATACAATCGTAACCTCGTTGCTGAAACAATGAGTGCTAATATGAGTTTCTCCATTATCATGTATCTCTATTCAGCTCCTTGAAGTATTTAAGTGACATAATATCTTGAGTTAGCACTAATTGCATCTTTTCTTACTCCCATTTAAACATATAATTCTTCAACAGGGACGAAGCAGTGCAACAAATGTAGCGAAGATAATAGATATTTGAGCTGCATTACGGCTAGCTCGCATGCTTCCGATCATGTAAACCAGTAGCAAATTTGAAAGTTTTTGAAGAACAGAGAATATTAATCTCCAAATTTCGAGATAAATCTACTAAGACCTACTATTTGCCCAATTAAGAATTGCATACCTTTGAGATTCCTTGGCGGCGTCATGTTTAATATGCTCTGTACTTTTTCTGGCTTGGACCTTATTCCTTCGGGAGTATGCAGATATCTGAGAAATCCCTTCAACGATGCTATTCTCAAGAGTGCATGTGAGTTTTTTTTGGAGATTTTTGTGCACTAGCAAATCGAGCCATTAACATTTACTTGAACACGCTGAAGGTTGTAATGACTCTTACAAATATGTGGTTGAACCAACATATGGCTGATTCATTCAATATCATGAAAAACAAATGACATTTCAATGCGTTGATATTCCGAGTAGACAGGCAGCTGATTTGAAGTTATGCATTTCATCATGTACAATTCTAGCGGCCAACTAGAAGGATAAGTGCAGAACAAAAAAATCAATCGCAACATAAAAGAAAAAAATAAATAGATAAATACAACTCAGTGAAAGAAGACTGGAATTGGTCTAGTCTGCTATATGTTTGAGAGGTATTCAGTTGCAAAAGCCCAAAAGAGACAACGTCGTTTCATTGAAAAAAAAAGACGAGATTGAACCCATAGCTGCTGTAGCGTCTTCACTTGAATAACTAGTTTCATCCTGGTATTAACTTACTCACAAGACAGGAGTATAAAATGATTTAAGTAATAGTACTGAATTTCTCAAAATTTTGGCGAAAAGGTCACAAGGACCAGCTGAAAACAACCCATTCATAGACTACCCCATAATTTGCCAAGCTATACCAAGTAAAGAAAATTATAAGATACCACAGGAACATCATGGATAATATTCGTCAATAACCAACCCAAAGAAATATAGGGCATGCTACAGATAGGATTCAGCACAATAATATGGAATTAAAAAATGAAAACCTTTCTTTACTTAGAATTCAATTCAATTAAGATATTGTACACAACTAGATTTCACTGTATTTTTATTTGATTGGAGAATATAAGAAAGGATTCTTGACTGAGGAGAACTAATAAAATTAAAAAAATATATATTTCTATTTATCTTCCAGATGAAACAGTACAAATAAGAATATTCAGAAAATATGAGAATATTCAGAAAATATGAGAATATTCATACGAGATTACATGAATTACTGATTTGATAACAGCTGTTACACTAGACATGAAGAAAAAGTTACCGTCCATAGTATGAGAGGACAGAATCAAGAATTTTGATGTATTACATGATTTCATTCCTACATATGTACTTCAAAAGTAAAATTTTACATCTCTTAAAAAGAAAGAATAAAATTTTTCCAATAAGAGCCTTCCACCTAAATGGATACCCCAAAATGGCAGCTCAACTAAAATAATGAGCATGCATCTTGTACCATGTGGATGAATGTATCAAACTTTTCTTCTATGCAGCAAAGCATTCCATTTTTTTAACCCTTCAGATTGATGCCTTCGCACTATTCTTTCTTATATACATGTATATGAATTGAAATATGATGAAATCTTAATTTCAGTTAAGTTAGAATCTGAGATTTTGCAGCAGGGCGGGAACACTTGGTTCTTGCATTCTTATTTAGGCTACAGGAACAGCCCTCGAGAAGTTCAAGGTCTTCTTCAAAGGTGAGGATGGAACACAATTCTGGCCTTTCCAAAAGCATTTTTGAGGTTAAGTAACCTGTGATCGTCCATGTTTGGTACAGCCTTGACTGTTTTCCAATGAACCTGCCAGTTCTGGTGTCATAGTACTCCGGCCATTTGTCCTTAGAAAGCCTCTTTTCGGCAACTGTAACGGCTTTTTGGGCTAACTCAGGCCTTCCCATCTTGATGCAAGCCAAGGTGAACTGAAGAAATGGTCAGCAGAAAATATGTCGAAGTGGTTTGTTTTTTTACCTAAGTGGTAGAAAGAGAACTGTCTAAAATAAAAATAAGGGAGAAAAAGCAGAACATATACCTGCCACAAAAGAGTAGGCCAAGATCCTCCATTATGGAACGACCAAGGACTGCAAAAAAATAAATAAATAAATAAATAAATTCAATCTTTAAAAGAGAACATATTAAGAAAACATATTCCAGCATCAGAGGTTCCTCTACACAACAAATACACCTCAAACTGAAATGGATCAAAAGAGTTACGTGCAAAACTTTATTTTTTAGTGGAGTTTTCATTTCAACTAAAGAAAATTGGCAGTGGCCTAAGAGTGTTATTGGGCAATGGCTTACTCTATTACGCGGAAAGAACTAGAGTGAGCCCTGAGCTTATTTCCAGAAACCAATTAGGCATCATTGGAGCTTTACTAGGAAGCTCTTTTGTATCCCAATTAAAAATCTAGAAATTATAGCTTATAGAATGAATGGTACCCTTGTTTTCCATTTCAATATTAGATGCATCTAAATTTTTCATGAGTTAGAGATTCTCTTTTAGGCTTTGTTTGGGATAGCTTTTTTACTTGTTTTTTAGTAGGAAACAACTGCTGACAAAAAATTGTGTTTGTTTGAATGTTGACTCTCACAATTTATTTTACTTACCTTTGAAATGTTGTTTTCGAGAAAATATATTTGAAACAAGTTGAAAATACAACTTTTAAAGCCAAGCAAAAAAAAAAGGGCTAAAGTTTGACGAATTCAGATTGTTAAAGCCAAAGCAAAAGAAAAAAAAAAGGCGAAGAGTCCCTCAAATGAAAACTTAATTAACATTATGAAAAACAAATATTTTTAGAAGTTGGCTACGTGTTTTTTTTTTTTTTTACATTTTTTTAAGAACATGTTTATTTGGTGTATTATTATACAATTTTTTAAAACAAATTATTAAAATAATTCAAAATAATTACTTTCTTAAAATATTCAAAATAATTTTAGATGTTTCCGAGTGTTCTTAAAAATATCTACTACCACTAAAAATATTTTATTCCAAATCAAAATATACACAATAAAATAAAAATAAAAAATAAAAGTGATCCCTAACAGCTCCATGATTTCCCATTTATAAAGCTATGTTCGACTGAAGCCATAGAACTGAGCAATGGAGTAAAAGGAAACAAAGAATATTGTTAGCATTCAAGGTATTTGACTCAACAATGTCATTATAACTGTTCCATCAAGTAATATGAAAGCTATCATGAGGTAAGATACATTATAAAATAAAAAAGCGTTAATTTCATGCTAAATTTTTTAAAAACAAGTTAATTTGTTTTTAAAAAAATATATAATAATGCATCAAATAAAGATGTTTTTAAAAATAAATGCAAAAAAAAAAATCATCGAACAGGCTGCAATCTTCTTAAAAATTTCTTTTTCATAAAGTTAAATAAGTTTTCATTTGAGACAAATTTAGCCTTCTTTTTCTTTTGCTTTAGCTTTAACAAGCTGCATTCATCAAACTTTAGCCTTTTTGTTTTTGGCTTTTTCCCCTTTTTTTTTTGGCTCAGCTTTAAAAGCTGCATTTTCAACTATTGTTTCAAACATGTTTTCTCGAAAACTGCTTTTAAAGATAAGTAAAAAAAAATTTTGAGAAAGCCAACATTTAAACTAACAAAATTTTTTGTCAACTATTGTTTCCTACTACAAAAGCAAGTAAAAAAGCTATCCTAAACAAAGCCTAAAAGAGTATCTGTAACTCATGAAAAATTTGGATGCATCTAATACTGAAATGGAAAACAAGGGTACAATTCATTCTAAAAGCTATGATTTCTAGATTTCTAATAGGGATACAAATGATAGAGTTGCAACAATTCAATTGGTAAAAAGCTGCTTGTGGGCAAACAACCTAAGAAAACTGCAACTTGCAACCAACATGAATTATGTGTAACAGAAGTTTGGGATACCAATCAAATCTACTAGAAAGAGATGCAATAACAATATTGAGTGAAACGCGGCAATACTATCTTAAGCCCAAATCTAAGGGATGAACATGTGGAAAATTTCTTAAATGATTAAGCAAAATTTCAAATAATTAACTCATTAATATATTCATAAAATAAAATAAGCTGATAGGTTAAACATACAACTTACGTATTCTTTGGATCGCTTCCAGTGATTATGCGCCAGTCATCAATCTCCAGTGCAGGGTAACATATCTTTAGAGGCATATTACCCACCAAGTCATCCCATTTATTCTCGATAAGAATGAGGATGCCCTCTGCTTGCCAAGCTGTTGTTAGAGATGAAGCAATAGCCCAGAGATTTCCAAGCAAAAAGAATCTGAAATCCATATGAGCAGGCTGCACATTTCCAATGAGATAGCCTCCTTTAACAGGAATCCAATTCATTAGCCATGAAGGAATCTGATCAGGATATATATTGAACTTGTTTGCAGCATCATACGAGTATTCTTCGGTCTTATAACGATAAACTTCATTAATCTTCTTCATGTCCATCCAATAATACTCTCTGATGTGAAAAGATAATGCACTGAGCCGATTATTGATGGCATGAATTAGGCCCTTGGATCCTTCATTGGGAGTGATCATTTCACGGGAGCACCGCAAAGCTGAATAGAACAAAGACTGAAGCAACAATGAAACAAGTTCATCAGGCCCCAAATCAAAAACTACAAGCGCTTCAATAAAATATCATCAAGGATCGCATTTCTAGATCAGAACCTAGGATTTATAGCATATGAAGTTTGCAAAGTAACAAAATTCAACTAAATTTCACTCACTTGGATTTCAAGAGGATGGCCATGGATACCCATCCTTCTGTCTATCATGCAAGAGCCATCAGTAACCAAAAGAGTTGGAAACATGTCAAAGCCATCTGCTAAACATAAATTTAAGATGAGTCTGATGCCTGTTTGCACATCTACCCGTTCCTGCAATGCATAGTCTCCAGAGATTTTTCCATAGGCTCTCAGCAAAATTATCCACCACAATCCTATGAAAAAAGCAGGAAAATTAATCCATTTCATCTTCAAGGAAATCAATTTACTTTTGATCATATGAAAAAAGAAAAAAAAACAAAATTAAGTTTCAGGCGGTCAAAGAGCTTTACCAGAATCAACTGGGGCTACACGTCCAATTGCCGACTCACCAAAATCAGGATCAAGTTCCTCCTCATATGCTTCTTTGTCATCACTCAAAGGATTGATTCGTACTTTAAAACTGGCGGGCATCAATCCTTGCCCAGGGCTGTAGCAGTCAACAGTCTTTTCCCAGCTCTAGGTGTTAAAAAATATAGAAAGAGGTTAGAAATTAAAGTTTGCCATACCTTCAAATCTTGTAAAGTCGAACAGAATCTAGAGATCATAAATGACATAAAAAAAACCTATCTTTAGGCTAAACTCTTGCTCAGTTTGCACTCAAATCTTATTATCACATTTCATTCAAAAATACTTGCAAATTCATCCGAGGAAGATGCTACAACTCAACTTTTAACAAGTACTAAAACAGTAAAAAAAACTGTAATAAGCTAAGCATTAGCAAATTCACAAGCAATCAAACATTGTTACACAAATACGGAACAATAACTTTTATGTTTATAGCAATTACATCAAAAGAATTTCATTGCAGACAAAGATAAGATAAAGCTTTTGGAACTTTTAGTGGATCCAGAAAATAAAAATGAGACATATAATAACCTAAATATACACAAGAAACAGCTAAAACTAACTCGCATCATAAATCCAGAAAACAACCTACAACTAAAATTCCTCCCATGCCGGAGCTGGACGGGAAAGCGTATGCTTAAGTACTTTACCATAAATCTGTGCTGACAACAATATGAAGGAAAGAATCCTAATTCAAAATTATGGATTTCAATGGGAGCATCCAATAAAAATTTTTAAATTTACAGTGAAGCAATTAATACATGACCCGTTTTCCATGAGCATGATATTATTGAAGGGATTTACATCTTCGTTGCCCTCCATGAAACAAGTTGAAGGGTATTTTAGGAAAAACAACATTGCAGATCTCTGTCCAACGAAAACAGCGGCAAACGCCAAAATACGAAGTCCAATTATAAATTTGCAGAACTTTTGATAATTTTTTAATCATAACAGATTTTTCCTTAATTTCCCAAAATACCCAATTCAATTTCGGGGGGGCTCATTTGGAATCGAAGGCGTTGCAATTCAACTTTCAAAAGGGAACATCATATTCATGCCTCAACAAACTAGCAATTACAACCAATCTATACCCATTAAAGTGGTAACAATTTTATACATCTAGCCGCAATAACAATCAATTTCTAACGATATAAAGAAATTTAATACAACACACTTCTTTAAAATGCAGATTAGATGCCCTATTCAGCACATTTTACCTGCAACTGCAACGTATATAGCAGAAAATTCCTGACAATCTCCATCTCCCCCTTAAGTAGAAAAGCCAGCGCTGAGGGCACGAAATCCCTAATAAAAACCTGATCGTAATTAAGCATTTGCCCTCCACTCCTTTGATCGTCAGCCGCCACAGTTCCCACCGGACTTCCGCAATAGCTCACCACTGACTTCCTCAACAACCTCCACGCCTCCTTCTCCTCCTCCGTTTCCTCCCTCCTCCCTACCACCTCCTCCTCCTTCTCCTTCCCCGTTTCCTCCCTCCCCCATACCCCCTCCTCTTTCTCCACCTCCGGCGCCGGCCCCGGCTCCACCCTCTCAATCACGATTGGCTTTCCCGCAAGCCCCTGCTCGTAGATCCGATCAAAAGCCTTCTCCCCGCCGTAGATCGGCTCCGCGGACGTCCCCATCGGCTTTGCTCCGGCCACCGACCTCACCGGCGCCGCTTGTCGCAGCCGTGACGCGGAGGCAGAGGAAATCTGGCGGATACGGCATATGGGGAAGACAGCGGCGGCGGTGGCCTTTCTTGAGTTGGGGAGGAAACGGAAGCAGGATCTCTTGGTCGCGATTCTCATGGAGCTAGTTGCATTCATGATAACAAGGGTGAAATTGTAACGAGAGGTTTTCAGTTGTAATGCTGATGAAGAATTTGAGGGCGTTTGCGTAGAAGAATGAATGCCACCCTCGCTTCAACTAGGAAATGGACGACGAAAGCAGAGGGAAAGTTATGGCCGAAAGCACTGTTGTACGAACAGGGAACTACCAACTCGCAAAAGCGCAGGAGCAGCCGGGTCAATTTTTACTATAGCCTCATAATTATGTAATGATTTTTAATAAAACATTAGATAATAATTGGAAGGTTAACAAAGATAACACTCGTCTTATGATATATAAATACATAAAAATTGAATGGCATGTATGTAGATGCCCTTAAGTCAAAATTTGTATTTTCATATATGTTTCTCTCTCCAATTCATGCTATCATAAAGATGTGTAGCCTCATAATTGATTGAAGAATAAGCAAAAAAAAATCTTCTAATTTATAAATTTGAATCATAGAGTATGATTTATCATTCATTTTATCATTATTTGTATGCATAAAAATGTTTTGCATGAATCTCGAGGCAATCTAGAGGTTCGTAAAGCCGATCGGTCAAAGAATTGTTAGCAGACCATAGCAAGCCGACTGAAGGGCTGGCGACCCAACCGAAGGCCAGTCCGAAGACCAGAGGGTTACCCAAGCCAATAAGAGATGATATTCACCCCAACGATTGAACAAAGTTCTAGTGCTCTCAGCAATCTCACTATTACCAACGTGAGACTCTATCAACAACTACCCCAAAAATCATCAAAGATTTTTAGGAATAAGCAAGGGACAAGCAAGTCGACGGGTCACCCTAAGACTAATCGGTTGTATATTTCAAAGTCAGTCGTCATCCAGGTAATATAGAGACCAACTAGAGCACCTTCTGACCAGAAGGTCCAGTTACATCAAAGGATACCAAAATCATTTACAAATATGAGAAGGCGCTACAAAATACGATAATGTCATGTAACGCCCCTTTTAAAGAACAAGCATATATGTTATTTTTGAACTTTTAGCTCTTTATCTTCTATAAATAGGGTGTTAATGGCGTGTATTGGAGTCTTTTGTCCTCCTAAGTTCAGCACTCATGAGCTTTTGGCTCTTATCCTTAGACTCATACTCAATAGAGAGAATCCTCTCTTCTTCTCTTTTGTAACCCCCAACTTTCAATGTATAAAATGGGTCACAGAGCCCAAGAATATGTCAATTCACCCCTGCAGGGGCAAGTCTATGTGTATTCTTTTATTTAGTTTGTCTACTTCTTCATCAAGGTTCCTACCTCTTCGATCCTTGAGCATGCTTCACAGGAAAAATATGGATTCAAAATCTTAAAAGGTACAATGATTATGGAGCATGCTACTAAAAAGTCGAGAAGCAACACTAATGATGAGAAATGCATTTTAAAGATACACTTAAATAAAGAGTATGCTAAGGAGTTCATGCAATAACAAATATGGAGCCAAAAATGTCATTTATGTCATCTTCCTAAAGGCTTTGGCTAAGAGGTGAGTATCATAGCATGGATTGCTTGCACCTGACAATCAAAATGTCCCCACCAACAACACTTGTGTATCGTTCAGTCAATTCCAAGTGGTTGATAGACTACTCAACGGAGAGTATTAAATTTTTGGATGTGATGCCAAATTTTTTTAATGTCTTTAAAACCAAGAAGCAATACCGACAGCGACCATGACAACGACCCTAAAGATGTCCATTCCACATAATATCCAAAAACACTCCCTCATAAAAAAATCTTGACCTCCAAGTATGAATCAGATAAAGCATTGGAGGTGATTTCATGCACAATAGTGACAAGCTCCATGAAGAATAAGGTGCAAATCACCCACGTAGAAATTCTTGACAATAAGCCTCGCAAAGAAAACGATAAGATCCACCTAAGTTCTAGTGAAAGGTGAGGTCCGACTGAGGCGACAATCCAACAAATTAAATAAGTTTTTAAAATCTAAAAGATGTGAGCTAGCTACAATATCATAAAATAAAGGTGATTGACAGTTTTGTTATAAACATTCGATTAGAACCTTTACAACAGAACCACCCATAATAACAAGCATTAAAATTCTTGTTCGTGGAAGATTTTTTTGTCTACCATAAAAATTTAGAAGAACTCTTTCTGATTTATTGAGCATGGAATTTAAAGAATAATATACCACTACGAGGAGAGGAAATACTACCTTAAAATGGATCTGATCATTCAGCTGATAAAAATCTTTGTGGATCTACGGAACCAAGGTTTTTCCCCTTACCTTATGGGTGTAAGATAACCGTTTATTTTATTTTAGGGTCTAGTTCCAGAGAAGGGAAAGCTCTCAAATTTAATTACATCTAAAAAGTCATGAGTTCTAAAGAAAATCCTCAATTTATATAATGACCTATGTTATTCAGATTGCAAAGTTTTAGTTTTAAAGTTAAAACTTCAGAGGTGAAGGAAAGATAAAGTTTAGAGTTTTGAAAGAATTAAGTGCAGAAGGATGAAACTTACAGTTCAATGATAGTGTGTCATGAAAAAGCTCATACAAATGATTTAGCCATCCAGGGAGGAATGTTTACCCAAGGGATTAAACTTTTGGTATTGGTGGAATTAAAAGGTATTAGACAAGATAGAAAAATTAGGTTTGAAGATATTGATTAGGATTATAAGTTCCGAAGTCTAGATTGGTATGATAGGCTAGACAGTTTGATCTTTTGTTTGAGTTTGAAGGGATTCCTAAGCTAAGAGATAGAGTTATGTAAGAATGATTTCTATATGGAAATGAAACCCACGCCTACAGTCTATAAGAAATCCCAATGGGTGCACTAATGTAAACATTGGGAATAATGCCCCTCTTTCAAGATACTCATGTTTTTCCATTATCTCAAGTACATTAATATAATCATAAATTTCAATATAATGTATAGAGAATAGTTGTAGATCACCTTTAAAAGTGCTCGATACCATCAAGACAATATTTGACACATTAGTAAAGAGATGATGGCACTATTTTTTGTTCATGAAGCTAAGATCTTCCAAGGAGTACATTGAAAAATATTTTTGAGTCGATGATATGAAACTTTTCTTTAGTTTGAAAGTACCTAATTTTGAGTACAAGTGTTATTGAAGCTAGGGCTCTTTTGACTTTCTCATTAACCCCTCGTAGTAACATCTTATCGAATGAAAGTGTGTATATCCATGTCAAGGTATAGAAGTGTTCTTAGATTCATTATGTTGACATATGCATCTGGATCAACAAGAACCCTAGATAGCTTGAATTTTCCAACATTTATAAAAGCATAAAGTGATCAGTTGTTCCTAACAGAAGGTTGTCGTCCATGAATATTAACCTAGGAGTCTCAACAAAATGATTTACTTTCCTATCTAGAGTAGATAGTGTCAACTAAGCCATGTTGATCTTAGGGCACTGTAAGGCTTTGACCAGTGATTCTCTCATCTCTTTGGATATGATAAGAGCATCATAGATATTAGTTGGCTTGAAACTTTCTTAGATGGGATAATATATTATAATTAAATTTAGGTGTGGCATTCATAGACTCATCCTAAGTATGAACAACTTGTGGTGGTACCACAGGTTGATTATGATCACTTATCCCGATAATATATGTGTGCTTCTTGTGTAATAACTTCAAGTTAAATTTCAGACAACGGCGCCAAGAACTTAACCACTGTCTGTGTGTGCTTATAGCCTTAATTCCCGACTTAGTGCTATTTAACAAATAATTCTTATTTTTCTCCACAATTTAATTTTACATACTAGGGATACTACGCAAGTGCAAGTATAGTTCAAGTAATGTAGAACTTTCTTTCAAAAACCCAGAGTATCAATCCCACAAGGAAAAGTGTTAATTCATAATGACATAAATAAAAGTTATAGTCTACAATAACTCGTTTAGCCTGAAATTGTTGAAAAGTTTGATTTTCCTACATTCACTATTTTACTCTGAAATTAAAGTTAACTATACTAAATAAAAAAACCTAATCTACGGAGAGTGGTTAAATTTTGGAAAGTTCTTATATAATCAAAATCTCTTCCCTCTCGCAATGAAGATAATGACATAAGTTGTAGAAGAATTCATAAAATTATGATATATAGAAAGGAGAATGTTAAAACCACCAATAAGTATAGCACCAACTACGACCTATATTGTCAGTTACTACTATTACTTCCCACTACTACCTTTGTGACTAGCTGATGGTACTACAGCTTCCAACTACGGTGTATGTGACCAGTTATGATGTATGTGGTCATCTATTACCTATGCGACTAATTACGACCTATGTGATCAACTACAACATATGTGGCTAACTACTACTATAACTACAAACCACAGCCTATGTGACCAATTGCAGCTTATGTGATTATGTATTGTTGTATCTACCAACTATGGCTTATATGACAAAGTAGGGCTGATGTAACTAACTACTTTATAGGCATCCAACTATGACTTATGTAGCTACCTGCTACTATCGCATCCAACTATAGCCTTTGTGACTGACTACAATATATGTAGCTAACTGTTACTACATTCGTGACCAACTAAGACCTATGTAGCTAACTACTGAAAAAAAAAGAAAAAATGATGGAAAACAAAGTAGATTTAGTTGTATTTTTTGTTAGTTCTAATCTATTTTTAAATATCTTTTCTTTTGATTCGAAGACTATATTTATAATTGATTTTTTTTAATTTAAGATTGGTTGTTGTGATGATTTCCAACTTTATATTAAAATTTAATCATTTTTTGAATATTTTTAATAATCACTACTTCGTGGATGGAATTTTAAATAATTATGCAAGTATGCTATGAGATCAGAGATTTTTCTATCCCTTTCTTCTATTAATTAGGTAGATATTCCTTACATTTTTTATTTTGGAATTTTTGGTCAACGATTCTTTTGCTCCATTTTGTTTTGTTAAATATTTTGCAGATTGGAGAATGATTATTAATTAAAGATTCTGATTTTATTCTATTTGTGGTGGGCTGATATTTTGGATTGCATGTTGCTCAATCTTATGAAATAGTTGCACTTCGAGTTCGAGGTTCACTTCTGCGCTACGGCCTTCTGATTGTGCGAATAGTGATCTTATTTCTCTGTTGGAGATCCCGAGGATCTTCTGGACTCTTCACTCGCAATTTGTGCTCCTTAGAACTATTGTTGTTTTGATTTTACTTTCTTCTTTTTGA